GGCCCCAAGAATTTATGTGATTATGTGTTCAACTTGGCCGGCGGTGATTGTGTTTCTTTGTAATATGATATTTCTTCCATGTATACCAATTGACAAAATATCATGTAATGGAAAAAAAAAAAATTTTTGAAAATGAAAAGAAGAAAAATATGTCACTACACTATCTTGTCATTATCCTTTAATTTGTGGTACCTACTACATAGCATTGATCATCATAGAATTTGGTGCTTTTGTATATTGGGGTTTTCCCTCCTTTCAAAACTTTGTTTAATAATGGCGTTGGTATAACAAGACATAAAACATCAAATCATTCTTTTTATTGGGGTTTATATGTAACTTTATTTAGTGACCTCTCAATTCTCGTTGTGCAGCTCATAACAAATAATAAAAATAATAATAATAAATAAAATAAAATCCCTCAAACAAAAAAGAAACGCTTTTGTTATATCATCAAATCATTCTTTCGAATACTGGGGTTTTATATGTAGCTTTATTAAGATTGGATATGACATCTTAATTCTCATTGCGCAGCTTGCTCATAACAAAAAAAAAAAAAAAAAATCCCCGACACTAAAAAGGAACGCTTTTGTCACGTTCGACAAATAGGAAACGTTTTTTTAACTGAAGGTCTACGAGGATATTCTAAACAGGATGGTCCGTAAAGATTAGGACTTCGTTCACTTCGCTGATTCGAGTTGAGATATGATTTTATGTGAGAGCTTTTTACTGTAGCAAAAAAGTTAGATGTGATTGTTTGTGAGAGCTTTTTACTGTAGAAAAACTCGAATTCTAAACTCGAATCAGCGAAGTGAACGAGGCCTAGTAGTCCTCATCGCCATCATGTGCCCTTTGGAGGATAAATAAAAACCATATTTTTTTTGTTTTCGTCTTTATAAAGTTATGGATTGAACTCATTTTTAGTCCTCAAATTAAGATCTGATTTTGATTCTTAACTTTTACAACATTCTAAAATAAGTTTTCAAATCTACTTCATCGTTTTAATCTAGTCTTTCTATTAATTAAAATAGCAATTAAAAAAAGCATAACTTTATTATTTATGGTCGTGCCATAATATGTAAATTTAAAAAATTTACTCACAATAAACTATACGCACGTCCTTTTTTTTGTCAAGATTTTAAAAATTAGATGGATGGAAAAATTAATATGTGGCAACTTAATATATTAGAGATCCTTTTAAGACGTTTTAAAATTCAAAAACAAAAAGTGAGATGAGATTTAATCTATTTTTTAGTACTAAAAATGAGATTAACCCTTTTTTATGAACATTGTTAGATACATTGACATGTTGACCCATATAGTTATTTTGGGTTGGGCCATGTAGTTCTAAAAGAAGAGAAAATTACATATTTTATTTTTTTAAGTTTTCGATTTACTAAAATATCTCATTTAAAAATTATACCTCTTGATTAGTTCTAGTTTAAAAAGTATAAATATTTAGGTCAATGTTAAGGGGTAGAAATAAAAGAGAGCTCCATTTTAAGGGGTATTTTTAAAAAATTTCCCTTTTAACAAATAGAAAATTACAGAATTTACATATATACCCGAGAAAATTGAAAAATTTATCTCTAACAGTGCATGGGTTTAGATTTTCAACCCTCATTTTTTATTAATACCTTTTTATTAGTATAATAATTTGATTATAAAATTTATTAATCAAGAATAAGAGATAAAAATCCTTATGCGTACACTTTTAAAGAGTATTTATATCCTTTCTCTTTTAACAAATCATGTAACTCTAGATATTTTTCAGTAAAAATTAGACAACATGACATTCTAAAAATGGAATTCAAGTTAATTTTTTTTTATTTTTAACATATTTTAGAAATAGTAAAATTAGGTAGTAGCTATTATAATAGTTTCATAAAATATGCGTACAGTATGAAGTAGTAATTATCATATTTTTTTTTCAATCTTTACTATTTCTAAAATATTTTAAATTATTTTCTATATAGACTAATAAAATTATGTTATATGCCTAACTTGTCCATAAATAAATATTTTATTTATGTTTCAAAATTTCTACATATTTTTTTATTAGTGTATTCTATTAGAACAACCTCGTTTGGTTAGAAAAAGAGTTCGTAAAACAACTGGAAAATAAATTTTACAAAATCACTTCCATATCAATTAAAAATACCACGAAGAATTCTTTGATTAGTTTATTGATCAAACAAACATTATTTGTTCCTTTTTTGGCTAATCAAACATTATTTGTTCCTTAACAATTAGTAAGTAAATTTAAGATTTTTACAGCGTTATTAAAGGTTTCATTCATTTTATCAATTTGAATTTAAAATTTAAGTTTTATTATAATAAAAAATTATTAAAAATAATTATGTTTAATATTTTTATTATAATAAAAAATTCTCATATAAAATAATATCTCAACTCGAATTAAAATGAATCCAAAATATCGTAGATCCCTAGTGATAGCATTTTTCACAAACTGTGGAAAGCCTTGTTTGTTTGTATCGTGGGCATTAAATCTCTAGTCATATGAGAGCTCGTGCGCTCTGACAACCGCCGGTGGGACCCTCCACGTGATGCTCCCCTCTTTTTGGTGGACCCAAAATGGACAAGCGACGTCGTTGCACGTGTTCCGCCGCTGTGATCCCATCCGTACGCGACACGTCTCCAAGACTGATGCTAACTCTCACATGCCTCTAACCACCGCTGTGTTTGGCTGCTATTGGAAAAAAAAAATAAACAATTTTTTTAATAGATTTTTTTTTTCAGAATTATCTAATATGGTGTAAAAAAAATAACTCTATTATAAAATAAAGTTTAAACCGCTAATTTTTTTTTTTATACCTGATGTAATTCTAATGTGATTTTAAATTTTAATACTCATAATTATCTTATTTCCAAGCTATTTTCTATACAATTTCATTGAACTTTTTTATTTTTTTTCTTTATGAACTTGTTTACTGGAAATTTATTAGATAGGAAAGAAAGGTTGAGAGAAAGGACAAGATGAGGGAATAGAAGAGTTGGAAGAGAGTACGTGGAAGATTATGCAAATTTGTTTGTTTTTGTTATCAATTGAACATGGATTGGAATCTTTGTTTTGCTTAGTCCAAATAGAAAATTAAGAGCCCGTTTGGTAAATGGATTCGTTCACTGATTCGAATCATGATTCGTGGTTCGCTACAGTATTTTTTCTCATAAAAAATATACGTAAATCGAAAATAATTCTAATCACATGGTTCTAATCCATGAACCAAACGGGCTCTAAATGTATGATTTTGTAAATGTGTCGTTCCTGTTCATTTCACTAATTTGAGTTTTACTACAGTAAAAAGCTCTCGTAAACAGTCACATTTAACTTTTTTATTACAGTAAAAAGCTCTCATAAATAGTTACATCTAACTTTTTTATTACAGTAAAAAGTTCTCACATAAAGTCACATCTCAACTCAAATTAAAAACTCGAATCAACGAACTAAACGGACTTGAAATGGTTCATTTTTAGTGCATTTAATAATGTTTATTCCCCATGATGCAACTATTTTTTGCTTAGGGAGTGTTACACCATGGTCGACCATTCAAGCCACCCACTTTTGTCGTACGCGTCAAGAGCTCCAAAAGTCAGGACAAATCCCTGATGTCGAGAACTAACAGTTAGAGAGATGTCTCTAGGTTGAGGAGCACACTTGAAGTCGAGAAGTTTGAAGCCTATGCGTCGAGGAGTCAAGGTGTTGGAGTCGAGAAGTGCTAAGGTCCTCTCAAGGCCTTTAAGGTGTTAGAGTTGAGAAGTGCTTAAGGTCCTCTTAAGGCCTTTGCATCGTTGAAGTCGATAAGTCTACTAAAAGCCATTTGAAGTCTCTGCGTCGAGGAGTCAGGAATAAGATCAAACCGGAAGCAGTCCAGTCAAATCCAGCAGCGGTCTTGTCAACTCGAAAAGAAAAGTATTGATCTGACTACTACTGCAGGAGTCAGGAAATCAGGTGGCAGACAGGAAGGATCAGCCGCGTTTCCCGGAGCAGTCATCATGAAAACTCACCTACCCTCACGCGGATCAAGGACAGAAGATGGCTTCCTCCTTGGGAACGGGGAATACGTATTCACATGTAAAGGCCTATAAATAGAGCCAAGAAAATCGAGAGAAGGGTTAGACACCATTGATATTACAGAGAGGGCTTGTAAACACCTGAGAAAATAGTGCATGCACAAGTGGATTAGGCACAATTATTGCCGAACCACAATAAAATCCTTGTCCCTTCTACATTATTTTACGGCTTATTTTTTTATTCTGTGGTTAGTGCAACCGTGAGCGTTTCCGGGGAGGTAACTACGAGTTGTCGGAAAAACACCGTCAACAATTGGCACTAGAGGAAGGGCCCCTAAGCCTAGAAATTTAATCTAGTTTGTAACCCAAGAAACAATAACTATGCCTCCCAGGAACGCTCGCTTGCTGGCGGCCGACCAGAGGAGCCAGGTAAGCCAAAATCCCACCGCCGCGAGGACCTCAACGAATCCGCTCCCGCCGGCTGCCGAGAATCCCCCAGACCGTATTGACCAGCTTCAAAAGCAGGTCAAAACGCTCGCTGCAGTCGTCGAGAGGATGGCTGCGGCCCTGGCTGGGTGGGATCAAGGGCAGAACTCAATGCCACTGCTGGACGATGCGCCGATGAACCCGGTGAACGCCGCCGTCGGGAACCAAGAGATTGGTGACCAACGCGGTGACGCCGAGGAGGTCGGTGATAGTAGAGCCAACGATCCTCGCCTGACTAAGTCGAATAGGTCTATGGGGAGCAAACAACGCGCGACATGGAGGAGAGCGCGGGAGAAGGCTGCGGCGCAAGCTGTGAATAATAGGGATGCGCCCCCTCGACCGCAACAAGATATGCCGTCCCCGTGGAGTCTTCATCTGTGCATGGCGGAGACCTTAGGATGAGGCTCGACGCTTGACAACGGAAAGCCTTGCAGCTGGCGAGAGAGGAAGAGCTCGCAGTAGATAACAAGGCTCTGGCCGAGAAGATGGCCAGGCTTGAGAAGCAGATTGAGAGTCGATTAAACAACCTCGAGCAGGTTGTGGGAAAGGTAGCCGAGGCAGTCAACGTCGACGCCAAGATGTACACATCCCACGACCACCCATTCACAGAAAATATTATCCGGGTGCCGCTACCAGATAAGTATAAATCACCCCCAATTCCGCTATATGACGGAAGGAGTGATCCAGATGATCATTTGGAGGTCTACACCGGACATATGGTTCTCCACGGATATCCTGAGGAGATCATGTGCCGAGCATTCAGGAATCATCTCTCTGATTCTGCTAGGAGATGGTTCAGATCCTTAAAGCCCAACTCTGTAGCGAGTTGGGACGATTTGAAGAATGTCTTCTTAACTCAGTTCATAGGAGTCAAGAAGTATATCCCACCGAAGCAGAACCTTTCAAGGGTCTACCAAGGGCCAGACGAGTCTCTCAAGGATTGGATCGCGAGATTCGGAGAGCAAGTGGCTGCCACAGAGGGAATCACAGATGAGGTAGCACTAATGGGAGCCTTGGCCAGCATGAGGAGGGATATCCCATACAGTACAGACCTTGACCGGAGGCCACCACAAACATATAAGGAGTTCTTGGTGAGGGCTCAAGGATTTATCAACGAAGAAGAAGTTGAGGCCAATGACCCTGAGTGCCGATCGAACAAGAGCCAAGAAATAGAGGAGCGGTCTACCTCTGAGAAGCAAGAAGGCCAAAAGCGTCGCGGTAATGGTAATGAGGATGAACCTGAAGCTTCGACTCTTAGTCAGCCGGAAGCAAAGAAGCCAAGGCAAGAAAACGACGGAAGGCCTCGACCCTTCCAACAATACGACTCAATACCAACGACTACAAGGACTTGAGAGATGAAATTAAGGGACTCATCCGTGATGAACGACTCCAAGAATTCAGAACTAGTAAGATTCAAAAGCTTGTTCATGCCACATCGGCTTATCTACGTTTATCCTTCAAGTCCTCAAAGAGGTCGACCCCAAACATAACATGCTTGCCTAAAAACTAAGGTTTTAATTTGGCATGGGGGGCAAGAAGGAATCTACGGACCACGTTCAACAGCAAAAATAAGTTCAAAGAACTTACAACGCCGAGTCCTCTAAGGACGAAAGGTTAACAAGCATAGCTAATAGAGCCTCTAAGGAGGAGAGGCTAAAAATGTGTATATATATATATATATATATATTCAACTGTTTGGCAGATCAGGACGTTCTCTAATGTTCGACACTCTAGAGCTCCAGCGCCTCCCTCGCCCCCTTCAATCTTCCCTCGTCCAGATACTTGACCTCAGCCTCTTTCACTTCTGTTAGCCTCCACTTGCGCTTTGACCTTCTATAATTCCTCAAGGTCTCATACTTCCCGCAAGGCCTTATTCATCTCCCTTGCGTTGGTCTTTGAGGAGAGTTTTTCGCGTCGAGGACAGCCATCAGGATTGTCCCGATTTGGTCCATCTCATTGCTCGACCTTGACTATGTCAACGAGGATGAAGGAGAGGATAAGAGCCTGCAAAAGTGAATATGAGGACTTACTTAGAGTAGAGAGTACTAAGGGAAAACCAGGAAGGTCAACTTGCGGAAGGAAATCCAAGAAGGTCGAGGCTTACATGTATCTAGTGAGAGACTCTTATGTTGGTGGTCGAGGAGAGAAGAAATGTTGGCGTCGAGCATTCAGAACAATACGCAAACAACAAAAGGTAAGTTTCTTAGTTCGTATTCTTCTATTTCTAACCATTCTCATGTAGGTACCATCACGAGCTAGCGCGAAAGTATAAAAGAAAGGCAGTCTCTACGGGGCTAATGCAGGAAAACAAAGAGGAAATGAAACTTGATCCAACAGTTGAAATTCAACTCTCCACTGCCACCTACTAACATGATCGACATTACTGCTCCACAACCTGAGAAACCAGCAATAATGATGGTGTTGTTTGGGAAAAGTAACTGCCAAGCTTACCAATGAATGATTTCTCGACTTGCCATAGCTTGAAACATCACGACGTAATATTCCAAGCTGGGGGCAATTGTTACACCATGGTCGACCATTCAAGCCACCCACTTTTGTCGTACGCGTCAAGAGCTCCAAAAGTCAGGACAAATCCCTGATGTCGAGAACTAATAGTTAGGGAGATGTCTCTAGGTTAAGGAGCGCTTTTGAAGTTGAGAAGTTTGAAGCCTATGCGTCGAGGAGTCAAGGTGTTGGAGTCGAGAAGTGCTTAAGGTCCTCTCAAGGCATTTGCGCTCTTGGAGTCGAGAAGTGCTTAAGGTCCTCTTAAGGCCTTTGCATCGTTGAAGTCGATAAGTCTACTAAAAGCCCTTTGAAGCCTCTGCGTCGAGGAGTCAGGAATAAGATCAGACCGGAAGCAGTCCAGTCAAATCCAGCAGCGGTCTTGTCAACTCGAAAAGAAAAGTATTGATCCGACTGCTACTGTAGGAGTCAAGAAATCAGGTGGCAGGCAGGAAGGATCAGCCGCGTTTCCCGGAGCAGTCATCATGAAAACTCACCTACCCTCATGCGGATCAAGGACAGAAGATGGCTTCCTCCTTGGGAACGGGAAATACGTATTCACATGTAAGGGCCTATAAATAGAGCCAAGAAAACTAAGAGAAAGGTTAGACACCATTGATATTACAGAGAGGGCTTGTAAACACCTGAGAAAATAGTGCATGCACAAGTGGATTAGGCACAACTATTGCCGAACCACTATAAAATCCTTGTCCCTTCTACATTATTTTACAGTTTATTTTTTGATTATGTGGTTAGTGTAACCGTGAGCGTTTCCGGAGAGGTAACTCTGAGTTGTCGAAAAAACACCATCAACAGGGAGATTGCACATTATGTAACGCCAAGGAGTATAAATGCGGTTGTTTTGGATTTGTCTAATCCTTTTACGCATATACTACTTATATTTATTTATTGTAGATTGCATGTGCTTGTGTTGTTTTTTAGCTGCGCATGTTGTTGATTTTGTTTTAAAAAATTTATTATTGAGAATAGAAAATCAATTTACTTTAATTTTATTTTTAATAATTTGTGGTCAGGATAATTTTCTTTATATTCTTCATTTTCTTTGCCGACGATTTTTTATTTGTTTTTTCTTTTCTACACAAAGGAGTAAATTTATACTTCACAATTCACATGTCTATCTATATGTCCTTTGGTTATTTTGTTGTGCTGAAGCCTTATTTCTTTTGTTTCTAAAATAATAATATCCGTGCAATGCGTTTGATGAGCTGTAGACTTACCATTGAGTGTCTATGAGAGGTTGGTAAGTCGCATGTGACCGCTGAGAGCCGCCCGAAATTCATACGTTACTTAGGATGTCGTGTTTTCTCAAAATTATTTGGATAAACTACTATCTATCTCTATACTTTTTTTAATAAAAAAAAAATGTAAGCCGCATGTGACTATTTTGATCTCATTTAATTCGCTGATTCATATTGAGATGTAATTTTATATGAAAGTTTTTAATTGTAGTAAAAAAATTAAATGTGACTTTTTGTGAGAGCTTTTAACTGTAGCAAAATAAAAATTAAAAATTTGAATCGGTGAAATAAACGAAACATTTGTTTGGTGCATCACATTTGTAAAAAATTTACACGAGTAGCTAGTACAATGTTATTCGTTGTTACTGCGGAAAAAAAAATGTTAACATGTTGCTTCATTGTACGTGAAAACCAAATGCATTTTCTTTTCCTCGTGATATTAAAATGAACTTGAATGTGGTATTAGGCTCTCTCTTTCTATTACAAATATCCAAAGGAAATATAGCAATGTCTATTTGTTCAAACAAGTGATTCATTAGCCGAAAAGAGAACAAGTTCAACAAAGTGATTAGCGACAACGTTTACTAATAAGGGAAGCAGGTGGTCGATTTTGTTGTTACATTTCTCATCAGCTCGCACAATTTACTTTAATTACTGTTAGTAATATGCTTTGACTTGAAGAAGTGTCTAGTTGCATTAATTCGATTGTAAGTGTCGAAATAACTTCTTGTGAGCAATGCAATTTCCTATACATTTTCAAAAAGACCACTATATTACTGTTTATGCAATACTGACTAGATAGATCAGGTTCATTTTACCGATTCGAGTTTTGTTATAGTAAAAAGCTTTCAAAAATTGTCACATCTAATTTTTTACTATAATAAAAAATTTTCACATAAAATTATATCTTAATTCAAATTAAAAATTCGAATTAACACGTCAAATATTGAAAAGTAAAAAGTTATAATTGGAATAATACTATGCATGAAGTGAAGTGTCAGAACCAACAGTTAAAAAGACTTGTATAATATAGAGAACCGCTGAGATATGCTACATATGCATTTTAATGTACATCCTCGGAAAAATATTTCTTCTGTTGATTATTTATCCTAAACAGTTTCCTTTGAACGACAAAAAAAATCAAATACTAGCCCACGCACATGTAAAAACAATACCCTCAGTCCCTTCATTTTATTTTTTTTTTCTTACAATTGTTTCTATTATAATGAACCCTTTTTCCCTTTGAGGGGAAAAAAAAAAAAGAAATTACATATATAAACAATTTATCTAGTATGCCCGTTTTCGAGCTCAAAGATGCTTTAGCAGAATGCTAGATATTCAGATCATTACCATAAGATTTATTTTATTTTTTTAAAAAGAAAATAATATTTAGAGAAGTGAATTTATGAGTGATTTAAAAGATGTTACGACTCTTACTAATGGTGATATGTAACATTCTAATTTGGTAACAAACATTTGAGCATTACTTTGTCATGATTATCAAGCCTTAAAACTTGTAAAGAAAATTTCTAATTTTAAAATAATTTCAAAGTAATAGTATTGTAGTGCTTTCAATCTATGCTTTGTAGCTTGGTTTTGTTTTCTGCCCCTTTTTTATATCGATATAGAAAATAAGCAAATTTTTGAATGAATATTTGTGGAAGAATAGAGTTATGATGAATCTTTATCAAATGTGGAGGAGAGAAGAAAAGTGGTTCAACTTGCGCCTTGCGGTATCAAAGTTTAACTTGGACTAACAGAATTTCATGGACTAGATTAGTGGATGCCGTGAGTCTAGTTATTCACCCGTACAATCTTTATATAAGTAGACATTTAGTTTATAAATTCAGAATTATTCTCATTTTACGTGTATTTTTTATATAAAAAAAAATACTATAAAAAATTATAAATTATAATTCAAAATCAAAAATAAATACAAGAAACAAACATCCCCTAAATTATGCTTTCAAAAAGAGTTTTATGTAGATTATACTTAAATTTAGAGAAGTTGTACATTTAAAAAATCCAGCAAGAGCCCACGGAGTGTCACTTGAAACGGGCCCAGGAAGATTAGCAAGAGCGGGCTTGATAAGACAGCTGTAATTCATTGGGCTATTTACACTGCAAAATTTCAATAATAGTGTTTAAATATAGCAAAATTTTTAAAATATTACAAGAATAGTCAAATTTTAATATCATTAAAATAATGACTATATCATTACATAGTATAAAATGTGACATCATTATAATAATGACCATGTTATTTTTACTATATTTATAATATTATGGTAATTTTGTTAAATTTCAACTAAGGTATGAAATTTTACATGTAATTATTAAATAACTCATTGTGTGCTTGAACGGATAGGACTAGCTTTACATAAACTATTTGCCAAGATTAGACTTTGGGCTTTGTATGGTACTTTGATGTAAAAAGATTAGAGAAAATTAAATATTTAAGTACCTAACTTACTAAAAGTACTCAATTAAAAAACTCTATCCCTTAACTAGTTGTAGTCTAAAAGATAGAAATGTATAAACTAATGTTGAAGAGTAAAAATAAAAGAGGGCTCCAAATCAAGAGGTATTTT